GAGTATTTGTGGCAGCAGGACGGTGTATGTGTGAGTTCATGGTAATGAAGGAGCATGTCACCCAACAGTGAGGCTCACTGGTATGTTTTAATAGTTTTTGGACAACAGTGCAGCTCAGAGGAAGAAAATATATCACAGACAATACTTTTTAGTAGATAAATTCCTTATTGTTTCTTTAATAAATAATGTCATCAGACTTTAAATCTGATTTTGTGCTGCTGAATGTTCAGAACTCCACGTTTACTTATTGGCAGAGCACGCCTGACACACCACCTGTCAGAAACACGTGTAACTGCGATGAGAAGGGGGTTCATTAAACAATGCTTTGTATGAGCAGCAGTAGTCGTAGTGGTACAGACCCTTCCACAGACAGTGATGCCTCCTCCAGGTGAGGGTGAACTCACAGGTGCAGATCATGCACATGGTGGCCCTCAGGTCTGGGATCCAAATGGGAGCCTTTGAACCCAACAGGGCCCCGGTGTCGACAACGGCCTTCGCCCTCGGTCAAGATAATAATATACATATATTTTGAAGGCAGAACAACAGTACAACGTAAACTGGATTTAATGATCACTCACCAGCAAGAACACGCGAGGCTGCATGACTTTCCTGGACAACTTCATTAGAGTGCCCTCCTTCAGAAACACATGAAAATAAACGGGCTGCATTTAGAAAACACCTGCAGTATGTGGAGTCCAGTGGCTAAATAATGACTTTTTAACACTCAATCGATACCTGAAACAGAAGCACAGAGCAGCGTGATGTGATGGTGGGAGTAGGTTTGTCATGTTGGGGTGATATCATCAGTCATACAGACTTAAACCACACATGAGTGTATTCTGATTCACAGAGAACCTGCAACATTATTAATGACGCTGCAAAAACTAAAAATGATTAGCAAGAAACTGAAAGATTACATTACATTACATTACAGTAATTGAGCAGACACTTTTATCCATAGCGACTTACAGTTAGTGTATTCAACATACGTATTCAAGAGAACTAGTCACCAGAAGTCATTAGTGCATCTCCTTTTTTAAACAAGCATCTGAGAGCATAAACCAGAGCAAAAGTACAGAAACAAACGAATACAATAAGTGCAGCAAACTAGTATGAATACTATATGATTAAAACTAGGAGGGATTTGTATTATTATCAGTTATGGAACCTGTTGAGTCTGGAGTATTTTGTACTGTCTTTGTAATTTTTGATATATTAAGTTAGATATTCAATTTGCAACTTGCAATTTTTTTGTCTGTTGTTTGGTATAAATACTTCTGAGTGTTCTGCTTAAACATTCACCAAATGAATAATAAACACGTTGCACTACTCTTCACTAGTACACCATGGTTTATTCAATGAATGGCCATCTTTCCTTCATTTGGGCTTTTTTAAATTTTGATGGAATGTGCATTCTCAAATTTCTGCATAGAATCTTAAAATGTTAGGTTTCTGTGACTTGTCTTATTTGTTAATTGAGAGAATTTACACCTGTGTGAAAATTCTCCCTGCATGACAAACCGAACTGGAATATGAACTTTGGTTTGTAAAAAAAAGTTAGCAACACTTTTGAGACTTACTCTGCCTGGTTGAACGATCTCATGGTGACCAATATGTACAGAGAAAACACATCATGTCCTAAAAAAAGCACATAAAGGACATGCAATACATGTTTTGTAATACATTTTTCAAATGTGTATATTGTGCAGAATATGCTGGAGAAGAAACAAATCAATATCTGCTCTAGGTCTTAAAAACAGATATTACAACATGTTATTTCCTTTTTTCATCCTTTGATGATGTAAAATGTGAAATTCCTTATTTTCAGTGTGCAGTCAGCTTCTAAGTTGCCTTAAAATGATTTTAAATATTTGAAATCTCTTCTGCAGAATTCCTCCCTTGTGTTAAACTCCTCAGGTTTGTATTACCGTTACTGTCCACTGGGTGCCAGTACGGTACCAAAGCAAAGAAGGACCTGACTTCAGTCAAGTGCTGTCAATAAAGGAGCGCCATGACTCAGGAAACCCTTTGACTTTCAGTGAACAGTGAATGTGTGTTGGGTGGTTGTACCTGTGAGCAGCAGCTGGTACTGAGGAATCCTCTGCACTGGTGTCAGCAGGTAGTGCTTCAGAGCCAGACTGACACATCTTGAACTAATCTGAGACAAAACAAACACAGAACCGTCCAGTTTACTGTTAGAGATACGCGTAGGGTGTTTTGATGGCTGCTTCTGATAGCAACACTTCTGGATCGAAGCTGCAGACAGCTGAACTATATTACTTTATCTTTAAATGTTAGTTACAGTGAAGGAGTAAAGGCACCTGAAACTGTATTTCACACATAATATAACATAAATAATCTCAATTAAAATCCTGCTTGAAAACGGTGCTGATGTGATTTAATCTACTAAGTGATTCGATGTTTGAAAGAAAAGCACAAAAAAACAAACCTGACACAATGTTCATGTAGAAACCCCAAAAATAATTGTTTTTTGTTAAAACTATATAAACTAAAGAAGAAGAAATGACTTGCTTACATTTTTTTGCAATTAATACAAACTTTTTTTAAAGACAGGTAATTCAATAGTGGAAAAATTGTTGATTAACAGATATAATCATACAAATTTAACAATAAGAAAAACAATGATATTACAACGTTCTCTGTAATCATTCTCTTTGCCTCCCCTCTAGCTTTGAGTTTCTCCCTCATGTGAAGTGGACAGAACTGGGACGTTGGTATTTTCTTTACAGCAAATATGCTGAAGGGGCAGGCCTAAAAATGAAAAGACTGAAGGCATCGACTCTGAACCAACAAGCACAGCACAACACTTGTAGATGAAAAGGGAAGCCTGATCATCAAGGATCTCTCACTCAAATCCACAAATGGGGAGGAAGTCGGGCACGAATGATGCAAGAAGAGAGGACGAGGAGGAAGGAAAAGACATTGCTGTTAAAGAGAGTAGATGGACGAGGAGGACGAGGAGGACGAGGAGGAGGTGATGGACAATGAGTACAGATGAGAGATATGACAGTTGGCAGGAGGGATGATGGAAGATGAAAGAGGGCTAGACACAGAGCATGTCTGGGTATCAAGTGTCGTGGAAAAGAAGTTCAGACCAGGCCAGTTGATGAAGTCTAAACCGCCATGTTTCTACAGCAGCCCAGAACAGACACTGGCTCTGGTGAGAGCCATTTGTGTTTTTGCATTACCTAAAAGGTATAGGGACTGAGACTCGGTATTAATTAAACGTGCCCCGGATTATTAAAAATCGGAGTATCGATAAACTCTGACGTTACTGGTGCTTTTTATTAGTACTTTTTAATGGTTAGGTGTAATTTAAAATCACGCTGAAGTGAGCATTTCCATTTCTCCTTTTTTTTTTTTATACAAACAAGCTAAAGCGAAAGATGTCTGTCTGAAGTTTACTGTTTATCTTAGTTTGTTCTTGTAAACTTCTCTACTGGCTGAGACAAAGCAGACAGGAGGACAGAGGACGGGAGGAGTGACTGATACTACCTAATGTCTGTGTTCCTCATTATTATTATTATTTATAAACTTTACTCAGGAGGTTTCCAGTGAAATATTAATGACGTTATAGAGTGACTTTGCTGTTGTAAACATTACTGTTATAATTCATTTCTAATCATGTTCTGAATTTATTTGTTTTTAAAATTCTATATATGCTTTAAAAGCAATAATTTGTTATGAAAAAGAACAGAGTATTGATAAAAGTAGCTCTTTGCAGTAAAACCTAAAAATACCTATCACGACCTGAAGGCCACCGCAGATCTCCAATAGGCTTAGAAGGGGGGGGGGGCTGAGCTGAGGGTCATATTGTTGCTTGCTATCTGCAACCTCACCACTAGAGGCCACTAAATCTCACGCACTGTTCCTTTAAGTTGATTCAAAGTTAGAAACAGTTTTTTCTTCATCTTGAAGTATGCCTTCATGCCACACTGAGTGAAATATTCAAACCCAAGCTCCCACATTGTTTTGGCTGCACCCTCTCATCAAATGGAAATATTAACTTGGTGTGCATTATTTTAAACAGACTTATATGGCTAGTATATGTGAACATTTTGAGCAGCGGCCATCTGCAGAGTGTTGGTGTGAACAGCGGGGACAGCGGTTACCTGGAGACACCTGCATTACGACACTCTGCTGCCATCTTCCCTTGTAACCTGATTACTGTTTGGTTACCACTTCACACTGACGGGGCTGTTTAACTGAAAACCAAAAATTCTATTTGGCAGTAGCTTTCAACAGCTGTAGTTTGACTAACATCCATCAGCGCCCTGTGAAGAGGACTGCAAGATTGTGTGGAGTACATGAATTTCTTGTAACCAGCAAAAAAAAACAACTTGAAGATGTCTTAGTGTACACATTGTATATTTATATTTTGTGTATTAATAGGTAATTGTGTACTACTGAGACACAGCTTGACATACTTTCTATACATACAATCAGCTGCATCTGCTGTAATATTCAGGTTACAGGCATCAAATGAACTATTACATTATTAGAGAATGTTATATTCCACGACTCAAAGGCATACAGCAAAGCAGATTTCACATACTGCTAGTAGTAGTAATAGTAATGTTCTTACATAAACTTAAAATACAGTGCTAAGAGGGAAAAAACACACAACAGGAATATAATAAACACAACATTTGATCAAAATCTATTGTAATAAACCATGTGATGTTGAATAATTCTAATGACATTTAGACATCACAGTGGATGTTATTTAAAAGACCAGTGTTATCGAATGATTCAGCCTGTCGTACAAATCGAGTGTACTACTTCCGACGAATATATAGGGTTTTTTATAATTGTGTTTTTTTTTAAGCTTTTGTCTTCCATTTACTACTAAAGTCGAAAAACGTGAAGACACCTACCATTTAAAAGGATACAGCTCAATTAATAAGAATTTTCAGATTTTTTTTAGGTAATGCAATACATATTTTTCCAGATTTAGGACCAGTGTTGTAAAGAAACCACTATGGCTTTTGCAGGTTTTCCAGAAACTCCTCTATTTCTCTCCACATTGGGTTCCTGCGTGTACTTTTTATCTTCTCCAGAATTTTTATGCTGTTCCTACGATAGTAGGATTGATGCGGTATCTCTGCCGCCTTCATGTGATATTTTATTGACTTGTTGTGATCCTGTCGATCGTAGTTTAAATACTTTGCGTAGTTGTTGTAAACCAGCTGTTTGTCTGCAGGTTTCAGATCAATTTCTAGCAGTTCCTGGTACATCTGCTCAGCTTTAGCCTGGTTGGACTTTGCGTATATAGTTGCAAGGTCTACTTTCGTCAGAAATGAAGAATCAGGGTAAAGAGAAATCACCTCCTCATGGAGAATGATTGTTCTGTCTATTGTGCTTTGCTTTGGGAGATTGTCGCTGGAAAGAATGATCTTCCATTTGTAGTAGAGTGCGGCACATTTCTTCAGATAACGCTCATCTGGATGTTGTTCCAGAGCCTTCTCTGCCAAATCAATGGCCTCATCAATAGATACATAGTGTCTGTAAACCCATAGTATTGCTTTCCAACCACTGTAGCTGCTGACAGGATTTCCCAAAATCTTTCCGGCTAACTCACGTGCTTCATCCTCAACTCTTTCTCCATTCGTTGCACGTTGCTCAAGGTAGTAAACTGCGAGGCACAAGTTCTCTGGATCCTGTTCCTTGGCGACTCTCATTTTCTCCAAGATGTCAGCCTCCAGCCCTGTGTCGCTGTGCTTAAAAACACTTGTTAACCTCATGGGGTGACTGGTGTTCCACTCCACCATGTCCGGCTGCATCCTGATGGCTTTCTGGAAGTAATCTGCAACCAGCTCTCTGTGTGCGCTGAAGTTCATCAGGGTCCAGGCTTTTTCAGCGTAGATCTCTGCATGGAGCTTGTCCTGCGATGGAGATGGGCATTTCTTCATCAGGGCTTCAACCTTGGAAAGGTAAGCCTCGCTCTCTGCTTGGTCTCCCAGGTGGTGGTGCAGCCAAGCCAGGTTCCCGTAGTTCACCACTAACCAGGGACCGTCATCTGCTTTTCTCATCTGGTGGAAGGCCTCTGCAGCCTTGTTGAAGAAACTCTGGGCGTCTTCGGTGAAGCCCAGCTTGTACTGAATGAACCCCCTCAGGTTGTAAATGTGACCCAGCCAGCTGTTTCCCTCCTCCGTGCCCATGTCCACCAGCTTCTCGCTGAGACGTAGAAAATAGGTCTTGCTGGGGTCCAGATCCCAGGTAAAGTGGCACTGCAGGGCCTCCAGTTTTGAGAGCAGTGTTGTTTGACTCTGAGCAGCACTGATGAGGAATAAAAATGACAAATATTAAAACACATCACTAGGCTATGGATAAGGAACGAAGTATGAGAGGATAGGAAGAAAAAATATGGACCAACAAACGGCTGCAAAGAGAAAGTAAGGTAGGAAGAGGAAAGTAGGTGAAGAAGAAAAACTTGAAAGAGAAACAGAAGGGGACAAAGGAAGGCAAATGGGTGGACATAGAGGAAGGTATTAAGGAAATGGGACAATGGAGGGAAAGAATGGAAAAGAGTTATAAAAACGGTCAAAATATAAAACCATGATGGACAAGAAGAAACAAAGGCTGAAAAAAAACACACAAAGGTGAACAAAGTATGCAATGAATACATAGATTAGTAATGAAAGGTAGGATGGCGTCTGTGAGGAAGGAAGAAACAGAGTGAGGCAGGAGGAGAAAAAGGGGGGCAGAAGGACAGAAGGGAGAAAGAAAAGATGGCTGGAAGGTAAGGAAGGAGGAGGCAAGGAAGGAAGGTCGGAAGGAAGAAAGGTAAAGAAATGGTTTGAGCCACAGAGGAGAACGAAGAAGAAAAAAATGGAGTAAGGAGAATAAAATAATTCAACAACAACATTTCACATTTGTCCACCAGAATTATATTCCTGGAAGTGTGGGATGAAACTTCAAGAAAACAACTGATCAGTAATAATTGTTTAAAAAAAGGGTTTTTTAATCCCTGTGGCTCTGACTGAAAGGCAAGACTGAAGAAACACAGGAGGGATAATAGTAGTAGCCAGTGGCGGCTGGCCAATAGAGGGCCATGGGGCCTGGCCCCACCTTGAAAAAAAAATATTATAATAATCATAAATTATACAAATTGTCAATATTTGTGTTTTTGAACTATGGAATGTACCCAGTAATATGTGTAAAATATGATATCTGCGCAAAATATATGCTTTTCCTGCTCGTCCTCTCCGCCTGTGTGCATGACACGTCTCAGAACGCGCAGCTAGGGGGGGCAAAATCGTTTTTGCCCAAAAGAGGCGGGTCTATGAAGCAGTTTAGCCAATTGCTGATTAAAGATATAAATGAGTGACATACAATTTAGCCAATCAGCGCCCTCAAATAGATTCAGTGTGGGGCTAAAACGATTTTCAGATGATATCAGATCAGCCTGACCCCACAATCAGACAGCAGACTAGCGGGAAAGGGAAGCAGTACATGCGAAGCTTCTGTACTAGCTGTACACCAGACAGGTTTGACTAGCTGCATGACGTCATGCTAATAATTTATTTAGCTTTTTTAAACAACGGGGACAGATCCAGCACGGACAGTTAGGGAGTGAGGGATGAGGAGGTAAGGAAACATGAGAACACCAGGGCACACATGGAGAACTCTGTCAAGCTACATATTAGGCAAAGTGAACATCTTTTCTTCTACATAGTTGTCCTCAGTCTCATCTGCTTAACTTGGTCATGGAGGCATCAACATTTAATTGAGATGGTAAATTAACAGTGAAAACTCATCATAGCTTAATTTAACATCAGTATTCATAATTACACTTCATGTTTACTTCTCCTGATCTTTATCTCCTATAACAAGGTCCATAGGGGCATCTCAATAAATAAACATGTTATATTATATTATATTATATAAGTGTTATATAAATGTTATTTACTGCTTTTTTCCGTGTTGGAATAAATGTTAAATATTTAACTGCAAAGTAGTAATGCGTGTTTGATACTTTCATCTTTTTGCATTAAATCATACTGGGATGTTTGCTGAAATTGATAGGATGGCCCTACCTAGAAAACTTTCCACCAGCCGCCACTGGTAGTAGCTTAAAGACAGAAAGGAGGGAATGAAGGAAGGAGGTACCAGAGATCTGACTGAACAGCAGTGTTTGAATACATTATCAATGACTTGAAGGATCCATAATGTTAATATTATTTGGTTGTAGGACACAATGATAAGATATGAAATAAATCATAATAAATACTGCCCAGTGAGCACTAACCAGGATTTCAACGTTGATTTCTGGTTGAGAACTGGTTGAAATTGGGTCTGAACGTCTTAGACCTATTTTCACCGTCTTTTCAATGGGCTAAAATGCGGTTACAACATCAACGTGTCACAAAACACCAATTTATTTTAAAATATTGATGGTTTGTCAGTTGTAGGTTGAAAGAGAGATAATAATGGTTACTGTGAACATATTTGTCGAAAGTCATATTACACTGGTCGGTGAAATGTGGTCTACACGAAGACGTGACTTCAACGCATTTGATCTTTCATATAAAACGTCATAAATATGGAACTATAGACTGTGCTGCCAACAAGAAGCTCCTAAGACATCGTAATCAGAGCAGAGTACATTCTGTCTATATGTTTATGTAAAATACGACTGTGTTTACTGCTCGAACACACATGCACAGGAACTTAGGCTCAGAAATCTTCTAAAACTTTGAAACATGCACTGTTTCTGGATACTCGGCACAAGACTTGAGGAGCGAATTGAATGAGCTGACGGAATAAACGTGAGGCTTCATGCCAACGACATACTCTGTAAGTACTTGAACTACTGGATTCCAATATTGTAAACCAAAATTAGCACCATTAATATAATTTTATGCTCACGACGCGGGCGAGGCTGCTAGCTTGTAGCATTGGCATGTTAGCTGGTAGCGTTAGGTTGTAGCTATAGCAGCATGGGCCAACAGTAAACATAAACATGTGTGTAGTTAATGTTGGATACTGTCTTTATGGGCTGTCACTGTAGCCCATTGAGTTTTTAGGCAATTTCACATGCAAAATACACGACGCCAGTGGGGCTGTACACAGTTTAAATGGGGAGGAAGTGAGTAAAGCATTGTTGTTTGGCTTACAACAATATACAAACACAGTGGCGGGCCGTGCATTTTATACCTAGGCCTTCACTGCTGTCCTGCAGCTGAAATACCACCTTATAACCACATGATGGCACCACAGATATTATTCGTTTTTAAGGCTGTAATTATGTATGTCTTCGTATTAAACCATTCGGTACGAGTCTTAAGAAGCCCAAATTCAGGAAAATATAATGTTTTCTGCACTCATGTAGGACAGTGGTTCTCAGCTGGTCTGGCTGTGAGACCTGCCATCATTCCTTGATGACAAGCCACAACCCACAGAGATTATATTGGGATTTTACTTTAACAACTGGAACATTGAATGTACTGCTCTGCAAGGTCTTTCCTCGTCTCAGTCCCCTGTGTCATGGTGTGTGGTACATCTCACTCCGGTCAGGAAACTTGTCAGAATGCCCATATTTGATTGGCTGAGCTGCATCACGTGATGTGATTCACTACCCGACTACGCCTCTGTTGTTAAGTTTCGTTTCACGATAGTCACGTGCTCGCCCACTGACCAATCACAGCACACTCTGCACCTCGCGGCAGAGCTGCACATGGACACTGATCTGCACGTAATGCTGACGTAGCTATAGGCCGGCTAGCAGGCTCTGACACGTCAAAGAATACGCCCAACATGTCAAACTACAGATCTGATTGGTTGAAGACTATGACAATCAACAATATTGTCCCCATTCACTTAAACTGCACTGGATGCATGTGAGAGTCTGCAGGCCTCTGCCTCTGTTCTTACCTAGAGACACAGAGGTGAAATCTGATTGGATAAAAGCTCTACTTAAAACAAGCTGCACTGGAAGCAGAGCAACTGAGGAAGACAGGAGCTGTGCAATGAGAAAATAAGATAATGGGAAAAATATTTTTATAGATTATAATACATGTAGTGTATTTAAGAAAAAATATTAAATTATAAAATAGATATAGCTTTGTGATTCTGTTTAGGCCAGCAGAGAAGGCCTTGCAGGCCCTGACGGCCCACCACTATACAAACAATATAAAGTATTATACTGTGTAATATCCAAGTAAGCATCTTTCCGTTGAAAAGACGTTTAAAAAACGACTATGGTCACTGGTGAAAAGACGTTCACAACTGGTCCCAAAGTGAATATGTTTTTCTCATACTTGTTTTTTTTTACAGATGTCCACCTTGAAAATATGGCAGACCCTCTGAAACCGGTGTTACAACCCTTACTGGTTTTAAAACCTACTGGTTTCCCTACCGTCCATGTGTTGTATTCACTTAACAGCAGCAGCTGTTTTCTGCCTCTCTCGCCAGATTCGTCACACATTCACAAACATATTGCTGGAGATCTATAAGCCACATCTCATATCCATTGCGGGTATTACGATTGTATAAGTGAGCACTACACGTATGAAGAAATACATTGAAGAAAATATATTTATGGAAAGACCTGGATTCAAACTCTGTCGAGCAAAATAGTAATAAATCTAAAGACAGTCGCCCTACGCGATTTGCCACATGCTCTTAATTAACTCATAGGACCCTAGCCCTATTTTTAGGCCTCTGCTCGAAAATTGCATAGTCATACACAAGAGAGTCCTGAGCTCTAACTACAAGGTCTATTTTAATAATTTTGATGCTAGAATACTGGTAAAACTTGTGAGATGTGTTGAATTGTGTAAATATTGTGTATATGTTACTGGTTAATAACTGATACACTTATGGCACAGCTCAAATTGAAAAATTTCTAGGTTCGCCTGAAAAAAAGCACTTGTATTGAACATTTTTTTTTTTAAATAATGCAGCTGCAAGCCTAAAAACACGCCACAGTCATAGAACAACACGTTTTACATGTCCCCACAACATATTTTACTTCGATTGAGTGAAGCAGGCCAGCATAAATGGTCATAAAAATCAAAATTTTGATTTTCGGAACCAGCTGTTGCATTGCTGTATACTAATTTTATATACTATATAACTAAATATTAACTATATATTCACTTTTCTTATCACTAAGAGTGTTCAATAATCCTAATAAATCAGTTTGACACCATTTTGAATAATTTTGAGCAGTTATGATGTGTCATATCTGTCATTCATAACAATAAATGGCTCATAATGTGTGTCTATGTGACCCTGGTAAGGCCGATTTACTCGTGTGAGACATTTTTAGATGCGGGATAGTCCAACGGGAGCCATGCAG